GAGGTGAGTCCCCAGGGTCCAGCATGCCCTGTTCCAGCTCCCCGCACTAGGCGTTATGGGAGTCCCCAGGGTCCAGCATGCCCTGTTCCGACTCCCCGCACTAGCCCTGAGATGCGTGTCCTCAGCCCGGTACCCTCCAGTTCCGGCACCACGCATCAGGCCTACGGTGCGTCCCCAGGGTCCAGCATGCCCTGTTGATTCTCCCCGCACTAGCCCTGAGATGCGTGTCCTCAGCCCGGTACCTCCTGTTCCGGCACCACGCACCAGTTCTACGATGCGCTTCAGACAGCCAGAGTCTGCCGTCTGCCCAACGGGGCCTGAACTGTCCGTCTGCCCAACGCCGTCTGAACTGCCCGTCTGCCCAACGGCGCCTGAACTGCCCGTCTGCCCAACGCCGTCTGAACTGTCCGTCTGCCAAGCGCCGCAGGAGCTGCCCGTCGGTACTGAGCCTGCAAAGCCGCCCGTCTGCCATGAGCCTACAGAGCCGTCCGCCAGACCGGAGCCGCTAGAGCTCTCCGCCAGACAGGAGCAGCCAGAGCCTTCCGCCAGACAGGATCAGCCAGAGCCGTCCGCCAGACAGGAGCAGCCAGAGCCTTCCGCCAGACAGGATCAGCCAGAGCCTTCCGCCAGACAGGATCAGCCAGAGCCTTCTGCCAGACAGGATCAGCCAGATCCTTCTGCCAGACAGGATCAGCCAGAGCCTTCTGCCAGACAGGATCAGCCAGAGCCTTCTGCCAGCCAGGATCCGCCAGAGCCAGCCAGCCAGGATCCGCCATTCAGTCCGGTACTGTCCCTTAGCCCGGTGCTGCCCCTTAGTCCGGTGCTGCCCCTTAGTCCGGTGCTGCCCCTTAGTCCGGTGCTGCCCCTTAGTCCGGTGCCGCCCCTTAATCCAGTGGGGTTTAGTTGGGGGGGTGGTCATGAGGAAGGGAAGACGGAAGCAGAGAGTGACTAAGGTGGGGTGGGGACCACGACCTGGGCCAGAGCCGCCACCAGGGACAGACGCCCACCCAGACCCTCCCCTAGACGGTATGCTGGTGCGCCCGGAGGTCGCACCTTTAGGGGGGGGTAATGTGACATAATGTGACACTCTGGCTCCACGGACCTTTATTCTTGAGCCAGGGTTGTTCATGTTCATTTGTTTTGGGTGTATTTCTATGTGGGGGTGTCTAGGTTGTTGTATTTCTATGTTGGGTGATTGTGCGTGTTTGTATTCATTGACTCCCAATCGGAGGTAACGAGTGTCAGCTGTTCGGCTCGTTATCTCTGATTGGGAGCCATATTTAAGATGTAGGTTTTCTGGTGTTAGTTGTGGGTTATTGTTCCAGTGTCTCAGTTTCTGTCGTTGTCTTTATTGGACTTCACGCATCGTCTTTGTTTGTTGTTTTTGTATTTACGTGCTTTACTATTAAAGTCATGTTCACTCGCAACGCTGCGCTTTGGTCTCATCCTTTTGACGATCGTGACAGATGGTGTTGGAGTCGTACGCGGCCATGCAGTCGTGGGTGAACAGGGAGTACAGGAGGGGACTAAGCACGCACCCCTGAGGGGCCCCCGTGCTGAGGGTCAGCGTGGCGGATGTGTTGTTACCTACCCTCACCACTTAGAGCGTCCCTTCAGGAAGTCCAGGATCCAGTTGCATAGGGAGGTGTTCAGTCCCAGGGTCCTGAGCTCAAGTGCAGGGTCAAGTGCATAGTCACCGGTAGACAGGCTATCGGCGCGTCACCCACCACTTTGCAATGTGAGCTGGAGGCGGTATGTATTTTGAAAAATGATACTTAATTGTTTGAAACCTGAACGTTTTACTTCATATTATGAGGCATGTCTCACCTTGCTTCAAAGTAGCATAGGCAAAATTCGACTTATTTTATAAAGACTTCCATCAAATGCCATTGAAACCAGCATTTATGTCCTGTTCTATTGGTTTTCATATCAACTTTCTTTCGTGGTCCAGAAGCAAAAGGCTTAATCCTAGTCATATTAGCATACCGTCCTAATTGTTGAATCTTTAGATTCTAACTGAGATTTTCATCTCTGTCACATATGGAACCGCTCGCATCAAGTGCGCTGTTTAGAATGGTGTTTTACCGTGAATTGCGTTGTTTGTAAATTACGTTTTATTGGCTGCTTCATTACAGGATTTATATGTTCTGTTAAGATGAATTACATTAATCAAAATGTGATTTCTGTCATTCTGAGCACCGTGGGTGGGCGCCCAATGTATATGGGTCCGGTAAATTTCTCAAATTCTCGGTAAATTAATATCTTCCGGGTCACGTTGTCCGGCGCTACACTTTCCCAACATAAACCCTGACACACACACACACACACACGCAAACCACAGTCCTCCTCCATAGCCAGCTGTGTATAGAAGGAAGGCCAGAGGTTGACCTTCAACCTTGCCTGAGGCAGAGAGGGAAGGGCAGCCAATCCCTGTCCAGGCAAGGTGACGCACCATCCAGATCAACAGAGTGTGAGTGAGAATGTGAAGGAGAAGGCACCATTGAGGAGAGTGTGTGTGTGTGAGAGAGTGTTGTGTGAGAGATGCAGAGTGTGCGCGTGTCCAGAGCTCAGTGTGTGTGTGTATGTGTGTGTTTAGAAGGAGTTAAATCCACTCACCGGCAGCAATGGGGGATTGTCTCTCGTCCAGTAGCTGAATGGCAGTGCTGGCCAACACAACACTGTTATTCTCCTTCCCTAGGATACATACAGAACACACACCATCAGTCCCCTTGTCATCGCTACAATACGCAGTCCAGCAGGGTATCTACATTATGTACTGTAGTAAGAATTTGACCACGGCAACCCCAGAAAGTAAATAGAAGGTCACCCGTATTATTAGAGTGTGGTTTACTGAGGCACTCCCTGAGGCAACAGCAGGCCACTCAAAACATGTTTTTCTGAGTGTGTGTGTGTGTGTGTGTGTGTGTGTGTGCGTGTGTGTGTGTGGCAGCTCGTTATAACATATCCAATTTCAACCCATAGCAATCAGCCCTGTCCACAAGAACACAGCCCATAATTAATAAGAGAGAGACAGAGAGAGAGAGAGAGGGAGAGAGAAAGAGAGAGATAGAGAGAGAGGAGAACAGAAGAGAGAGAGAGAGAGAGAGAGAGAGGAGAGAGGATAGAGAAGAGAGAGAGAGAGAGAGATGAAGTATTCCAAGAGAGGAGAGAAGTCAGAGTAGATAGAGAAGATAGAGAGGACAGAGAGATGAGACATCAGAAGAGAGGAGATAACGAACTAGAGATAGATACGAGAGCTTCAAATGTAGAGAGAGAGAGAGAGAGACAGAGAAGATAGATCTGCCAAGAGGTGATAGAGAGAAGACTGCGATAGAGACGAGCTGCTCTCTCTCTCTCTCTCTCTTCTCTTTTTTTGCTTCTCTTCGCTATTTCTCTCTCTCGCCTCTCTCTTCTATCTCTCTTTCTTTTGCTCTCCCCTCTTCTCTCCTCTCTTTCTCTCTCTCTCGATCTCTCCTCTCTCCTCTCTCTCTCTTTCTTTCTCGTTTCTCTCTCCCCTATCTTTTTCTTTCTCTCCCCTTTCTGCTTATCCGTGCCTCTCTACTCCTCTCAGTAGCTAACTCACCTTCGAAAAAAGTCACTTTAATGGAAACATTGATTTGGTTGAATGCAATCATCCTCCGCAAAATATGTGTGTAATGGAAATGGTTTATGTTAGGTAATAACCATTTACATATCAACTTATTCCCATGTTCCCTCTCAGGCATTTGGCTGCAATATCTTACCAACCACTAAAAACAACCCTCTAAACATCTCTCTACTTGGGGAGTTAAACAGGAAGGACTGTGTGTTTATTCTAATGAGCATTCTCTCTCCCTTGCTGTGTTTGAATCACTCATGTAATTTCTCCAGTGGACACAGGGTGGAGCAGTTCTACCAGATTATACAGTGTGTTCAGACCCTGGCTGTCAAAGGGGGACTGTTTAGTGATATATTCCCATAGAGGACAGGCGTATCTACCTGTGTTGAAGGGGAGAGAGTAGACAAAGGTTCCAGGAACCTGTTCTGCCGCTCTCTTGTACCACAGGGGAAAGTGATCGGCGTTGAACACCCCTTCTTTATCTTCAGCTGTCAGGAAATCTCTTGAAACAGACAGGAAAAATAGGTGATGAAACAGGAAACAGGAAACTGGACAGACACCGTGAGAGGACCAACTATTAACAGTCATTACAGGAGCACTAACTTCAGGGAATTGGGGGGTAGCGCGTTGCGGACCATTCACCTGTCAGTGTCAGCCTGTGTGGGTGATGAACTTGCTGATTGGTCAGCCTGTGTATGATGAACTTGTAAAGTGGTTATCCCACTGGCTATAAGGTGAATGCACCAATTTGTAAGTCGCTCTGGATAAGAGCGTCTGCTAAATGACGTAAATGTAAATGTAATGAACTTACTGATTGGTCAGCCTATGTGTGATATACTTACTGATTGGTCAGCTGGTCTGGAACCACAAACAAGTTGATTCTGGAGAGGCCAGTACGTGTGCCCAGGTAGGCTATCTCCACGCCCTTATCAGAGTTCCTGGAAATCAGACATGCAATAATACTCATGTAATACTACAGTAATACATCACACAGTAGATAAAGAATGAGAGTACCGGACAGCTAAGAGTATCAGTAGTGTAAAACCATGTTGAATACTAGAGGGCGATATGGAGGAAGAGGTTGTGTGTGTGTGGTGTGTGTGTGTGTGTGTGTGTGTGTGTGTGTGTGTGTGTGTGTGTATGTGTATGTGTGTGAGTGGTGTGTGTGGTGAGAGAGAGTGTGTGTGTTGTGTGTGCGTGTGAGTGTGAGTGTGGAGTGTGAGTGTGAGTGTGGAGTGTGAGTGTGAGTGTGAGTGTGTGTGTGTGTGTGTGTGTGTTGTGTGTGTGTGTGTGTGTGTGTTGTGTGTTGTTGGGTGTGTGGTGGTGGGTGTGTGTGGTGTGTGTGTGTGTGTGTGTGTGTGTGTGTGAGAGCGAGAGTGTGTGGTGTGTGTGTGTGTGGTACATACTCTGACTTGTTGAGTACCAGGCTGGTCCAGTAGGCCTCTAGAGGAGCTGTTACCACGGCATCAAACAGCACCTCCTGGATCAGTTCCTTATCACCTAGAATAGAATACAATACAATAGAATAGACAGAATAGAACAGAACAGAACAGAATAGAATAGAACACAATAGAATATAACAGAATAGACAGAATAGAACAGAACAGAATAGAATAGCACATAATATAATAGAACAGAATAGAATAGAATAGAACAGAATAGAACAGAATAGAATAGAACAGAATAGAACAGAATAGAACAGAATAGAATAGAATAGAATCGAATGGAACAGAATGGAACAGAATGGAACAGAATAGAATAGAATAGAAAATAATAGAACCGAACAGAATCGAACAGAATCGAACAGAACAGAAGTGAGACAAAACTGAGGTGTCAGATAGACAAGTAAAAGGACCAGTAAGGCATTTGAAGTCAGGTAGATGAGTGTAGGATGGAGAGAGAGAGTGAATGGAGGGAGGGACTTACATTTAAGGTGTGGTTCTCGTCCACTGAGGTAGAGTTTGATGGCTTCTATCTGAGACAGGTACCGATGCTCTGGGTGCTCATCTGTGTCACAGTATGTCCTGCAGTGGAAACACACACACAGTACTGTTACAACACACACACACGCTGTTACAACACACACACACACACACACACACTCTAACTAAACACACACACACATACACACACACACACACATTGTGTTCCTACCATTCATCTGCTAGTTCTACATCAGGGTGCTCCAGATCATGAAGACCTAGAAAAGACCAATAGATGTTAGTCTAAAGAGAGAAACCCCCACAACCCCCTGAAGGGAACACTCTATTAAACAACTAAAATGATAGGGACAGTGGTAGGAACGGGCCGCTGTTGACTGGTACACAGAGCTGCCACCACAAATACCATACTGCTTAAGTATCATCATCTCTTTCAGAATACTGGCTCTGAAATAAGAAAAGCGGTATGGGCCGATTTGAGCCCATACCGATACCTTTTTCATTCCACTTTAAGCATTAGATGGACTAAAACTCTGGTTTTCAGCTCTACTTTCATTTATAATTCATGTCCTGTGTGTGTCTGGTGAAAAATGACTCTCCTGAGTCGCTCTGACAGGACTGACTGGAGCAGTAAGAGCCAAGTCATGCTCCCAGGGCTCCACGCGAGACACGTGTTTATAAAGACATGCTTAGAGTCAGCATGAATATTAACACACATGATACTGGGCATGGAGCACAGGGAATACACATGATGGAGGAAAAACATGGGAGGGAGAGAAAGTAAGAGAGAGAGAGAGGGGGCGGGGAGGGAGAGAGAGATAAGGGGAGAGAGATGAGAATAAAGGGGTAGAAGAGAGAGGAAGAGAGAGAGAGAGAGAGAGCGAGGACGAGAGAGAGAGAGAGAGAGAGAGGGGGGGGTGAGGGGAGAGAGAGATATAAGGGGGGGGGAAGAAAGCTCTCCTCTGCGCGACTCTCGCGGAGAGCGCGCGAGCTGCGTCGCTCGCGCGCGCTCGCTCGAGCGCGCGCGCGCTGCTCGCGCGGCCGCGCTCGGCTTCCCCGAGCGAGAGAGAGAGAGAGAGGGAGTAACAGAGGGACAAAGCGGACAGGAAATAAAAAAGTATGTCTACCTTCTTCTACAGTGACGTTTCCTCTGAAGAAATATTTCCCATGGCCTCTGGACAGGGCTACCCCTAGACTGAAAACACACACCTCTATGAGAGACCTGTATACACACAATTTTTGCTAGAAGATAACAGAACAGCATAGAATGATCTAGCTACATGGCCTCACCTGAAGGGGGTTCCCTTGATGTCAGTGTAGTAGTAATCATTATGCAGTACCAGCACACGCTTCTGAAACACACAAACAAACACACATCATTATAGACATCGTATTTGTAATGTCTAAAACGTTCATACACACAACTTCACTCCATTCCAATGGCATACAGCCTAGCTTTATTCCCTCTTATCTGGCTCCCTCTAGTGGTAGGCTGGGTGTTTGCTCTAGAGAAACAACTATATCTTACAGATGTGCACTAGCTATATGTAATGTTATTCCCATAGATAATGTTGTCCTGAATGGCTCAGTTGTTAGAGCATGGCGCTTGCAACGCCAGGACTGTGGGTTCAATTCCCAGACCACCGATACGTAAAATGTATGCACGCATGACAGTAAGTCATTTTGAATAAAAGTTACATGCTAAATGGCATGTATTATTACATTGGTTGACCAGAAGAGCCAGAGAGACCAGGGAAGAAGGGGAGTGCCATCTGTCCGCTGAGTGTGTGGTTTAGTATTTAGCCAGTTTAACTATAAATACACGTACGCACACACACACACACACACACACACACACAGACATACACACACACACAGAGACACACACACACACACAGACACACACACACACACACACACACATACATACAGACACACACACACACAGACACACACAGACATACACCCACAGACACACACAGACACACAGAGGAGCGGTAAAAAAGGGAATCACTGGGCTGCTGTCGCTCTCAGATTTAGCAACATGTGCTCAGTAGAGATAAGAAGAGTCGCACAGTTACACACACACACACACACACACACATTCACACACACACATACACACACTCTCTGACACACTCCGACTGCAGCCCCAGTGTGTGTGTGTGTGTCATCAGTGGGGGCACAGGGGTGAATGAATCTCCTGGCACAGTACAGCACCCCTGCTGATTGTTTGCTCTGCCATCCCCAGACTCCTTCTCAATTGGTACATGTGAGTGAGTGTGTGTGTGTGTGTGTGTGTGTGTGTGTGTATGTGTGTGTGTGTAAGAATGTGCAACACATCAGAAGAAGTGTGTATGAAATGCACAATCTGGACCACAACAGTAAAGCTTGGCTTTTTAAACCTATCCCTGGTTAGGGTTGTTGACATTGTAATGTAGTGATATGATGCTCACATGCACACACACACACCCATACTCACACACACACGCACACACACACACACACACAATAACACACATGCACGCACACGCACACACGCACACGCATGGACGCACACACACACACACACACACACACACACACACACACACACACACACACACACACACACACACACACTTACCCCTTTGTCCACAGTCTTCTTTACCTCCATGGAGAAGGTGCCAGTCTTCCTGTTTACCATGGCATTTCGCAGCTAGAGACACAGAACAGACAGTCCATCACAGTCACAGAGTTCACACTCACAGAATGTATAACTGAGCTCATACAGGTAACTGCCAAAATAAAGGAAACACTTGAGTAAATTAGGAATAAAAAGCATATTGAAAGCATGTGCTTCCACACAGGTGTGATTCCTGAGTTAATTAAGCAATTGACATCCCATCATGCTTAGGGCCATGTATAAAAATGCTGGGCAGACCATTATTTAGGCCATTATTTTGGTACCATGGCTATGCCCCCATAGGATGACAATGCCCCCATCCACAGGGCACGAGTGGTCACTAAATGGTTTGATGAGTATGAAAACGATGTAAACCATATGCCATGGCTGTCTCAGTCACCAGATCTCAACCCAATTGAACACTGGAAGATTCTGGAGTGGCACCTGAGACAGCGTTTTCAACCACCATAAACAAAACACCAAATTATGGAATTTCTCATGGAAGAATGGTGTTGCATCCCTCCAATAGAGTTCCAGGCACTTGTAGAATCTATGCCAAGGTGCATTGAAATTGTTCTGGTTTGTGGTGACCCAACGCCCTATTAAGACACTTTATGTTGGTGTTGCCTTTATTTTGGCAGTTACCTGTAGGTAAACCACAAAGGACCAGGGTCCGGTTTCCCAAAAGCATCTTAAGGCTAAGTTCATCATTAGAGCCATAGGATCATAGTTCATCATTAGAACCATAGGATCATAGTTCATCATTAGAACCATAGGATCATAGTTCATCATTAGAACCATAGGATCATAGTTCACCATTAGAGCCATTTGATCATAGTTCATCATTAGAGCCATAGGATCATAGTTCACCATTAGAACCATAGGATCCTAGTTCATCATTAGAACCATAGGATCATAGTTAATAATTAGAACCATAGGATCATAGTTCATCATTTGAACCATAGGATCATAGTTCATCATTAGAACCATAGGATCATAGTTCACCATTAGAACCATAGGATCATAGTTCATCATTAGAACCATAGGATCATAGTACATCATTAGAACCATAGGATCCTAGTTCACCATTAGAACCATAGGATCATAGTTCATCATTAGAACCATCGGATCATAGTTCATCATTAGAACCATAGGATCCTAGTTCACCATTAGGATCATAGGATCCTAGTTAATAATTAGAACCATCGGATCATAGTTCATCATTAGAACCATAGGATCCTAGTTAATAATTTGAACCATAGGATCCTAGTTAATAATTAGAACCATAGGATTCTAGTTAATAATTAGAACCATAGGCTCCTAGTTAATAATTATAACCATAGGATCCTAGTTAATAATTAGAACCATCAGATCATAGTTCATCATTAGAACCATAGGATCATAGTTAATAATTAGAACCATAGGATCATAGTTAATAATTAGAACCATAGGACCATAGTTTATCATTAGAACCATAGGATCATAGTTCATCATTAGAACCATAGGATCATAGTTCACCATTAGAACCATAGGATCATAGTTAATAATTAGAACCATAGGATCATAGTTTATCATTAGAACCATTGGATCATAGTTCATCATTAGAACCATAGGATCCTAGTTCACCATTAGAACCATAGAATCATAGTTAATAATTAGAGCCATAGGATCCTAGTTAATAATTAGAACCATAGGATCCTAGTTAATAATTAGAACCATAGGATCATAGTTCATCATTAGAATCATAGGATGCTAGTTAATAATTAGAACCATAGATTCATAGTTCATCATTAGAACCATATGATCATAGTTTATCATTAAACCATAGGATCATAGTTCATCATTAGAACCATAGGATCATAGTTCATCATTAGAGCCATAGGATCACAGTTCACCATTAGAACCATAGGATCATAGTTCATCATTAGAACCATAGGATCATAGTTCATCATTAGAGCCATAGGATCACAGTTCACCATTAGAACCATAGGATCATAGTTCACCATTAGAACCATAGGATCATAGTTCATCATTAGAACCATAGGATCATAGTTCATCATTAGAACCATAGGATCATAGTTCATCATTAGAGCCATAGGATCCTAGTTCACCATTAGAACCATAGGATCATAGTTCATCATTAGAACCATAGGATCATAGTTTATCATTAGAACCATAGGATCATTACATTTTACATTTTACATTTTAGTCATTTAGCAGACGCTCTTATCCAGAGCGACTTACAGGAGCAATTAGGGTTAAGTGCCTTGCTCAAGGGCACATTAACGTCATTTAGCAGACGCTCTTAGCCAGAGCGACTCGCAAATTGGTGCGTTCACCCTATAGCCAGTGGGATAACCACTTTACAAAGGATCATAGTTCATCATTAGAACCATATGATCATAGTTCATCATTAGAACCATATAATCATAGTTCATCATTAGAACCATACGATCCTAGTTCACCATTAGAACCATAGAATCATAGTTAATAATTAGAGCCATAGGATCCTAGTTAATAATTAGAACCATAGGATCCTAGTTAAAAATTAGAACCATAGGATCATAGTTCATCATTAGAACCATAGGATCATAGTTAATAATTAGAACAATAGGATCCTAGTTAATAATTATAACCATAGGATCCTAGTTAATAATTAGAACCATAGGATCATAGTTCATCATTATAACCATAGGATCATAGTTAATAATTAGAACCATATGATCATAGTTAATAATTAGAACCATAGGATCCCAGTTAATCATTATTACCAAAGGATCTTAGTTTATAATTAGAACCATAGGATCATAGTTCATCATTAGAACCATAGGATCATAGTTCATCATTAGAACCATAGGATCATAGTTCATCATTAGAACCATAGGATCATAGTTCATCATTAGAGCCATACGATCCTAGTTCACCATTAGAACCATAGGATCATAGTTAATAAATAGAACCATAGGATCATAGTTTATCATTAGAACCATTGGATCATAGTTCATCATTAGAACCATAGGATCATAGTTCATCATTAGATTCATAGGATCATAGTTCATCATTAGAACCATAGGATCATAGTTCATCATTAGAACCATAGGATCATAGTTCATCATTAGAACCATTGGATCATAGTTCATCATTAGAACCATAGGATCATAGTTCATCATTAGATTCATAGGATCATAGTTCATCATTAGAACCATAGAATCATAGTTCATCATTAGAACCATAGGATCCTAGTTCACCATTAGAACCATAGAATCATAGTTAATAATTAGAGCCATAGGATCCTATTTAATAATTAGAACCATAGGATCCTAGTTAATAATTAGAACCATAGGATCATAGTTCATCATTAGAATCATAGGATCCTAGTTAATAATTAGAACCATAGATTAATAGTTCATCATTAGAACCATAGGATCATAGTTTATCATTAGAACCATAGGATCATAGTTCATCATTAGAACCATAGGATCATAGTTCATCATTAGAGCCATAGGATCACAGTTCACCATTAGAACCATAGGATCATAGTTCATCATTAGAACCATAGGATCATAGTTCATCATTAGAGCCATAGGATCACAGTTCACCACTAGAAACATAGGATCATAGTTCACCATTAGAACCATAGGATCATAGTTCATCATTAGAACCATAGGATCATAGTTCATCATTAGAACCATAGGATCATAGTTCATCATTAGAGCCATAGGATCCTAGTTCACCATTAGAACCATAGGATCATAGTTCATCATTAGAACCATAGGATCATAGTTTATCATTAGAGCCATAGGATCCTAGTTCATCATTAGAACCATAGGATCATAGTTCATCATTAGAACCATAGGATCATAGTTCATCATTAGAACCATAGGATCATAGTTCATCATTAGAACCATAGGATCCTAGTTCACCATTAGAACCATAGAATCCTAGTTAATAATTAGAGCCATAGGATCCTAGTTAATAATTAGAACCATAGGATCCTAGTTAATAATTAGAACCATAGGATCATAGTTCATCATTAGAACCATAGGATCCTAGTTAATAATTAGAACCATAGATTCATAGTTCATCATTAGAACCATAGGATCATAGTTCATCATTAGAACCATAGGATCCTAGTTAATAATTAGAGCCATAGGATACTAGTTCACCATTAGAACCATAGGATCCTAGTTCACCATTAGAACCATAGGATCCTAGTTAATAATTGGAACCATAGAATCCTAGTTCATCATTACAACCATAGAATCCTAGTTTAACATTAGAACCATAGAATCCTAGTTCATCATTAGAACCATATAATCCTAGTTCATCCTTAGAACCATAGAATCCTAGTTCATCATTAGAACCATAGGATCCTAGTTAATAATTAGAACCATAGGACCCTAGTTAATAATTAGAACCTTAGGATCCTAGTTAATAATTAGAACCATAGGATCCTAGTTAATAATTAGAACCATAGGATCCTAGTTAATAATTAGTACCATAGGATCCTAGTTAATAATTAGAACCATAGGATCCTAGTTAATAATTAGAACCATAGGACCCTAGTTAATAATTAGAACCTTAGGATCCTAGTTAATAATTAGAACCATAGGATCCTAGTTAATAATTAGAACCATAGGATCCTAGTTAATAATTAGTACCATAGGATCCTAGTTAATAATTAGAACCATAGGATCCTAGTTAATAATTAGAACCATAGGATCATAGTTTATCATTAGAAACATAGGATCCTAGTTAATAATTAGAACCATAGGATCATAGTTCACCATTAGAATCATAGGATCATAGATCATCATTAGAACCATAGGATCCTAGTTAATAATTAGAACCATAGGATCCTAGTTAATAATTAGAACCATAGGATTATAGTTCATCAATAGAATCATAGGATCCTAGTTAATAATTATAACCATAGATTCATAGTTCATCATTAGAACCATAGGATCATAGTTTATCATTAGAACCATAGGATCATAGTTCATCATTAGAGCCATAGGATC